GGTTGGACTGGATGGCCCATGAGGTCTCTTCCAACTCTTTGATTCTATGATTCTATGATTCTATGAGTGAGTTACACTTTAAAATGTACCTGTTCTAACTTACATAAAAATTTAACTTAATAACCTGTCTTGTTCATAACTTGGTGCCTGCATTCACATACAGATCTGGGTGCAATTTCTAGTGACATGAAGAATCAAAAGTACCTGCTCATGATGTTTGAAAACTTGTAAAGCAAACACTCCTGAATGGTTTGGGATTACTTGAAAAATGTCAAACAAGGTGTTTTTTTTTAATTACACTCTACATTTATAGTATTGGGAGGGGGAGGTCAGGTTGTTCATTCTGAAATTATAGCATTAACACTGAAACATCTCACAAAAAAGGAAAAGTTTTCTTCTAAATTTAAAAGGTGAAACACTGGTGCCAAGATGTACCATATACATAGCACTAAATGACAGAACATAAACTTCTGTGTTTGTCAAGCATCTTTCCTTTGTTAAAAAACCAGAAGGTGACAAAGTCATAGTACCTACCATCAGATATGTCTGTCTGCGGAGTGTTTCCTTCTGATAAATTGAAAGTTCCATTGTCAGTCCAAGAAGCCTCTGAAACATCTGTATCAGATACAGACAATTCTTTGGCTGCAACGGTCGGACTAACCTGTATTTGAAACGCCAAAATGACAAAACTCAGCACTCTTAGATTCTCAGCTAGATTTAAAGATCTATGTTGTAAAACATATCTCTGCATATACTCATGAACAGTAATCCTCTGACTACCTAGATAAGCAAAATCAAGACACATTCTCTGAACAGTACAAAATAATTTTGAATGTCATTTCAACATATGTTAAATGTATCATTTCCTAGCAATATATGAGTTTCTTACTTGCAAGAGTATTAAAAAACAGTTTTTCCCTATTTTGTAGAAGATGAAGATGTAGTTGAATTCTAATCATTTCCTAGAAAATGTAGAATGACACTGTAATGGAAAAACTAGAGAAACAAAACGTGGGGATGGACCTACACCTCACCAACATAAGTGTGTTTTCTGTGTCTTCAATTAACTTTCTTACTCTAATAATGAAAGGTAAATAAGTGTATTTACTACATTTATATCAAAGCAATTTTAAATTAAGCAATGATGTTAAGTTTAAGGTTTGCCATAAAGTCAGAGTTGACTTGAAGGAAGAATCGCAATTGCAGACCTATGCAATATAACTGATTTGTGACATTTGTACTACACAAAACTGCAGTTTTCACAAAGATTATCTGCTCTGATTGCTATCCAAAAGTAAAGGAGGATGCATAAGGAGGGTGGTAGCAGGAAGCCATGGAAATTGTCTGCTGTGATCCTCATTCCCTGCCTTTGTGTGCTTCACAAAAGCAGGTTTTTTTTATTACTATATCCTGGGTAGAGAGCTGTGTGGGGCAAGCTGGGATGACATTCTAGATTCTGGAATAATAATAATAATAATAATAATAATAATAATAATAATAATAATAATAATAGTAATAGTAATAATAAAGCTTTGTTTGTATCCTGCCACCATCTCCCCGAAGGGACTTGGGCCGGCTCACAGAAAGCACTCAATAGTGCAACAATATACAAATACAACAATATACAAAAAAATTAGAAATTAACAACAATAAGATTAGCTCAATTTACTAAAAACAGAAATAAAACCCCAAATAATTTAAAAGGTACTATAAAACCCAGAAGGCTGCAAAAATTTGGAAGAACTGGAGGCTCCATTTCAGGTAGAGAACACAAGACAGAGGGAGATAGAAAAAGCAGGAGTGTTTCTGAGGCTGTAGCAAATTGTGTTTTACATTCACTAAGTTGCAACAGACAATACCGTCACACCTTGGGTTCTGAGATGCTATCAAAGGCTTCTGGGGCACACTAATTGGTCTGGAGGGCCACACTTTGCTTGCCTCTACCATATCTGGTCTCCCAAAACACAGAAAAAGGTATGCATGTGAGTATTACAGTACCTTTCCTAGGGGAATTAGATGATCATACCTTAGATGCATGCCAGATAACAGAATACATGAGAGCCCTGATTCTAATGCTTGGTGACAATGAAACCTTGATCTCCATTTTCAGCACCAGATATTCCAGGATGCAAACCAACTGAGAAACTTAAACTCCGATCTTAGATTTACTTCAAATTTATGATGAAAAGGCAGAGGCTGCAAGAATGTCTAAGAATTCCAGAGAAGTGCTTTTTTTTTGGGGGGGGGGGGGGAGACAAGAGACAAGACAAGATGCTTCTTTATTTTCGAAAGATTCAACTAACCTTGGGACATAGGGCTGATATGTCCAGTTCAGTGTCATCTTCTGTCAGCTTTATTTTTATCAATTCTGGAAAACAAGGTCATGTTAAATTAGTTTTGTTAGAATATTTTGCTACAAAGTAAATACTTTTTTTATTAAAATTCACTGGATGCCTCTCAGTAATAACTTAATTAAAATGGCACCTATTTCAATGCCTGACATTATATAGTTACTTAAATGTTATTCCTCCCCACATAGAAATCCTAAGATGGTTGTGCATTTTTTGTTTAATGTAAATGGCCAAAATTAACAACTTCAGAATTAGTACATCTTTACTTTTTCTGATATTGAAAATTATGGTCATGAAAACTACAAAGAATAGGCGGAGGGAAAATCTTCCAATTCCCTGCTTACCGGCTTTCTCTTTCAGTTTTTGCTGGATGTAGTCCCCAACACCAAAGTCCAGTTTCAGCAGTAGTGGCTTAATACTGCTATATACCTTCTGTCCAAATTCATTGCGTGCAACGAATGGACATAAAAAGGCACATAGTACTGCAAAGAAATTGAGGCAGGAAGTTACACAACATTTTACAACAGGTATATGTTTGAATCACATCATCTGGTAACATGCATTTCATATCCTCCTTAAAACACGTAAAACTATTTCCATATAAAAAGATGTATAAATCAGCTTTCCACAACTTCCCAAAGAAGCTGACCAAGGATTCGCCCAGGAATTTTTTTTTTTATTGTGAAATAGGAATTTTTGTTGCAATCTTCTACTTGCAAGATAAGAATATTACTACTGACATTGCTGAATTTTGCAAAATTCACTGGCATCATTACAGAAAGCACCTGGGCCGTGGTGGCGCAATGGGTTAAACTCTTGTGCTGCTGAACTGCTGACTTGAAGGTCGGCAGTTTGAATCCTGTCTGTCAGTTCCAGTTCCTACCAACCTGGCAGTTTGAAAACATGCAAATGTGAGTAGATAAATAGGTATGGCTTTGCCGGGAAAAGGCTGAGAGACGCTCCAAGCAATCTTGCCGGCCACACAAACAGGAGGTGACAACACAGGCTCCTTGGCTTGAAAATGGAGAAAAGCACCTTCCCAGAGCTAAAGATGAGCACTGCCTCCAGAAGCCGAAAATGTAAGGAGTAGCCTCTGCCTTTGTTTGTGTGCCTCACTGTATATGATTGCAAAGGCATTGAATGTTTGCATATGTATGTAAATGCCAAAATCCACTCTGAGTCCCCTAGAGGAGAAGGGCGGAATATAAATAAAGTGTGTTGTTGTTGTTATTATTATTTTATACTCTGACAGTAAAACTGGATGTCTCCATTCTGTAAAGTTAAATACACCACAGTGAGTGGGATTAAATTTTATGACTAGTGTCCGTGGAATTGCAGCATGGATCTCTAAAAAGTATGGTTGCACTGTTTTTGATAAACTAAATAATGGGTTATTGCTTCTTTTGTGCTGGAGTATCAAAAGTCTGTCCTTGAGGAAAATTTTCATTTTGGTCAGAATCCTATGAATCCAGCAGCTAAGTCACAGTTTGTTGCCAACTGTGGTTAAAATATGTCTCCTTGTTGAGGATGTCAATTGCAGTTATAAAAGTAGTGTGGAATGCAATTGTGCATGGTACTATAGAAATCTTGGGACTTCAAAATGATTCCCTGCTGCATCCCATAAGAACTGGGAAGAACTTACCTATAAGATAGGAAAGGACAATTCCAGGAACATAACTTCCCAAGATTGTGAAGAATGTGCATACGCTGCAGACCAGGAGGCAAAACTGTTCAAGAAAAAACAAAACAATGAAAAGTAGTACAATAGGATCATGTCTGCCACATCCAGTACCTATGCTAAACATGTTGCTTTGAGATCAGCAGAGATCAGCAAAGATCCACACTATTATTTATAGACATTAAAAGAACATGTAGTAATTGTTATTAATTTGTGTAATGTGTTAAGTTGTTAACTGTTTTTATACTGTTGCATTGAATTTTTGCTGTTCTTGTTGGTTGTGAACCGCTGTGAGTTGCCTTCGGGCTGAGAACAGCGGTATATAAGTAAAGTAAATAAATAAATAAACAGTAGTAACGCTTGCTATAGTAAGCGGTATTATCAATACCATAGACAATAGTTCTTTTTGTAAATTCTTTTCCTTTCCCCTACAAAAATTGAATTTGTGCGCATTAGGAAGGGATGTTTGGAGAACACCTCTGATCCAAGCAACAATTTGGATGACTTTATGGTATTGAGTCAGTATTTCATAATACAGTAATGATGGTCACATTCCCAGATTCTTTGGAAATTCACCTGTCATTCACACTGGACACATTTGCTAATCTTACTCCTACCCTAAATTGTCCAGTCATTTCCTTAGATTGCAAATCTATGCACATGTACCGGGAGATAAGGCTGGTTGAAATCAATGAGTAGACATGTACTGGATTGTATTATTAATGGCTTTATTGGTTGGTTATTGTTATATCTTCACTAACACGTGACTTCTTTCGAATGAGATATATCATAGGTCTTTCTTTTACCTTGCCAGGGTTCTGCTCTTTGAAGTGAGACATTTCTTGGAGAAATATGGCAAAACTCATCATTGCTTCTTCTAAACACTGATTCAGCCAGAGCCTGTATTCGGATTTGGAATCAATGACTTCCCAGCTGTAAAGGAGACATGAATTTGAAAAACAGATTTACCCAAATTATTCTTGTGTCTACCTGTCTTCTCTATGTCCAGTTAATTTTTCCTCAACAGGAATTCTTAACTGTTGCCACTATAAAGTAGCATATCTCATATCTCAAAGTTAATAGTATAGAATTAATCCTATACAGGAAGTCCCCAAATTACAAAAAAGATAGGTTCTGTAAGTTTGTTCTTAAGTTCAACTTGTATGTAAGTTGGAACAGATACATTTTAAAGTGCAACTCTCTCTCTCTATCTATGCTAGGCATTGGCAAACTTTCTAACTTGGGGGTTGCATGGTGGGCCGGAGCAGGGTGGATGGGCCGGGAGGAAGGAGGTTCTCCCCAAGGCCCCTCCTTACTCTTTCATCTCCTTCCTGTTCTCTTTTGGAGGCAGAAAGTGAAGGAAAGATGGGAAATGTTTGGCTCCCAAAAGAGTTGGCCTTGGTCAGCATGAGATGTTGGAAGGGGAAGAAAAGGCGTATTCATTAGACCCTGTATTGCCTACTTCTGATCTAGAATCCTAGAGCTGGAGGAGACCCCCCCCCCCCAAGGGCCATCCAGTCCAATCCCCTGCCATGCAGGAAAACACAATCAAGGCCTTCCTGACAGACAGCCTCTGTGGAAAAGCCTCCAGAGAAGGAAAAACCACTACACTCCGAGGCAGCCTATGCCACTCTCTAGGAAGTTTTTCTTAATCTTTTCAGTCAAATCCCTTTCCCTGCCATTTGAACCCATTGCTCTAGAGCAGCAGAAAATCAGTTTCCCCCATCCTCCTCAATGGGACACCCTTGTAAATCTTGAAGCATGGTTCTCACGTTCCCTCTCTAACTTCTCTTCTTCCAGCTAAACATCCCCCAGGAGGAAAGGAGGAAGGAAAATGAGAAGGAAGAAAGGAAGAGAATGATGGAAGGAAGGGTGGAAGGGAATGGAGGGAGGAAAAAAGAGGGAGAGAGGGAAAGAAGGAAGAGAGGGAGGGAAGGGACGGAGGAAGGGAGAGAATGAAGGAGGAAGGATAGGTTGGTGTGAGAGAGGAAGGCCTGAGTAAAGAGCTCAAGGGGCCGCATCTGGCACCCGAGCCTGGATTTGCCCATACCTGATCTATGTGCACAAGCTTTGGATAGCATTGGGAAGGATTAATACCCCTGTGGTGTTTATTTTGCTCTCTGTGCCCCTATTCAGAAGATTTCACTTTACTTTCTGTCGCCTTTTCCTCATGATAACTCTTTCATGAGAGAATTTCTCTTCCGAGGGATAGATTTCTCTCCCTTCCTGTTGTTTCACCCCCATTCTTAACTAGTTGTTGTTTGTAGCTCGGGGACTGTCTGTACTTTTATCTTATCACATGCAGCAAACTGTTGTCTATCACTGCTGAGAAATCACAGGCTAATCAGAAGGAAAATTATAGGTGAGAGTGGGAAATTGTTTTTTCAACACATTGTTGTTGTTTTAGCTTTAGGGACTAGCATGCTAAAATAGAAAACAAACAGCTGCAGATATGGTATGAGATTTTACAGGTATTTATAACTCTAGGCTGGCCTATAGAGCACTGTTTAGTCTGGAAAACACTGTGCTATGACTACTCATTGTACCTAGTTTCAATTACAGTTCTTAATTAAGCTGAGAAAATGTCATTTAATAGTAAAAGATCTTAGGGCGGTGTGCAGGTGAAATCTACACTATATAACAATGGCGGTACATCACTGTGTCTTAAAAGCGTTAGTACATAGTCATGGTTTTACTTGGTGCTTAAACAAAACCAGTGCTAGTCCAAGAAATTCTAAGAGCCGCCGCAAACTAGCGTCCTGCGACAGCAAACTGTGCCAGCACGTCTGATGACGTCGAAGACTCCGCCTCTCTCTCCGCCTCTTTCTCTGTGCCAGCGTGGTTTTTCCTTTGCTAGGGCAGCGATGCCAGCGTACTCTCGCTGTTGAATTCTGTCAACAGCGAGAGTACGCTGGCATCGCTGCCCTAGCGAAGGAAAAACCACGCTGGCATGGAGAAAGAGGTGGAGAAAGAGGCGGAGAGAGAGGCGGAGTCTTTGACGTCATCGGACGTGCTGGCACAGTTGGCTCTCGCAGGACGCTAGTTTGCGGCGGCTCTAAGGGAAGACCATTACAAAATTGGAGTGACACAGCTGAGAATGCTCTCTCCAACACCTTCATACAATGTGTTCACTTCACTGGTGGGACACAAAGGAGCCACTCTCCTAATCTAAATGTTCATGCAGGCACATACCGGCAGAGTCTCTCCCTCAAGTATCAACATCCATCTACTAATCCCGTCTCCAAATAAAAAACAGAATGAAGCAGTGGGATTTTGAAGGGAGTCTTGTATGTTGTCTTCTACCATTTAATTCACCTCTTGGTTCATCACTGCCTTTCCTTTTGCTAATCGCTACCTTTCATAGACATGGTGGCTGAAATCTTACATTATCAAGCATAGCATAAGAGTTACGAGTCCTCTAATTTCACGCTCTGGATTGAGCACTGTGCTGCTGCATAGCTCTCCTGAAATCATTCTGTTGCTAGTGAAGAGTGAGGCGGGTTTAAGGCAGAATGAGAACATCTTCCCCCCAGATCCACTGGAGTCTTCCACCAGTCTCAGAGGGTATTATCATTGTTTTGCATCTGGCTTTAACACCATAGTCAGATACTTTACTTCCACTCTTTACCTGCCAAAAAATGGCCATAGGAGAGGGACCACATCCTTGCAATTATAAGTTGAGAACAACCAGGGGATGGAACAGGACTTTGATTGTTTTGAAAGGCGAGAGGGAATGCCATCTCAACAAAATATACACACAGGGATAATGTGGATGTATGCCAGCATATGTCACTAACAGTATTCTAGCCAAAATGAAATAAATACACATCTGCCACTCTTTGCCAGCACCCCAGTCTCCAGTCTCTTTACACACAATGCATTTTTTAAAGTATGCATAGCATTTCTGCTCAAGACTTTTTCTTCCTCTCAAATTCAAAGCAAATTTTCAGTACCCCAAGCATTTAGTCACCCAGATTTATAAGCTTCTCTTATGTGTGATGCAGAAAAGTCTGTGAAGCACTCAGTGAACAAAACAGACTGACAAAAAGCATAAGAGCCTGTGGATACTTTCACCACTGTTGGGTCTACCAAGACAACAAACAGATTTTCCTTCTGCTTCTCTGATTCACATTTTTGGTAGGCAAAGATTTCTAGTCTTTTTAAAAAGACAGGTGGATCCTCACAGCAGCTTTCTTGAGCAGGACAAAGGCACTAGCAAACACCTGCATAACTTGTAATAAAATTTTCAGTGGTAATCAAATGCAAAAAAAGGCCACAGCAACCCACCCTCCAACACAGGAATAAAATATGTAAAGATTGCTAGATGTAATGGAGTAGGCCTAAATGTTGAAGGACACATCAGAACAGCCGCACTTTCAAAGACAAACCAAGGACATAGGAAAGTGAATTGTTCCCTGTCAACAATCCAGTTTTTGTAGTTTTAATGCATTGTCAAAGGCTTTCATAGCCGGAATCATTGGCTTGTTGTAGGTTTTTTCGGGCTATATGGCCATGTTCTGGAGGCATTCTCTCCTGACATTTCACCTGCATCTATGGCAGGCATCCTCAGAAGTTGTGAGGTCTTTTGGATGTATGCCACAGATGTTTGCGAAATGTCAGGAGAGAATGCCTCCAGACCATGGCCATATAGCCCAAAAAAACCTACAACAACTTTTGTAGTTTTGTTACCACTAAAAGACCTTCAGCAAAACAAATGGTTACTTGCTCATTGAAAACAATGCTATCTCAAACGATTTCACAAAACTGTGGATTCCTCTATTAGCTACTAAGAAAACTCACCACCCTATAACGAGAGGGAACAAGGGAATAAAGGCCATAAAGGATAACACCACCATCCCAACAAAATAAAACATTGTGCTCTGAAACCCTGCAAGCACTGCTTCAGGATATGCAATTTTGAGATCTAGGAACCACATTAGCTCTACAGGAGGGACCATACCCTCACCGCCACATCTTGAAAATAAATGCCCTTAAACACCCTGTGGGAATGATGTGAGGGATGTTTTCACTATATTTTGGGGGCCATCTAGACCATTTAAAGACAAGGAGAAGCCTATTTTAACAACAAGAACTCAATTGACCAAGATTTTAAAAACTCCTGCTCCCCCTGCCCCCACACCCCAAAACAACAACAACAATAGTGAAAATTACTCTTGTGTCCCTTGCAGACATTTGTGGGGGGGGGGGGGGGGGAGTAAATACTTTTTGTTGATTCCCTGGGGGGAGCACTTTGCCCACCCCCGCATTACACCATTCAAATGGAATGCAAAGATGATCCATCATCTCCTTGCATTCAATACCTAACAGGGTGATCCAGACAGTGAACAAATACAAGATCACTTTGGATCCACTGAACCCAGGTCCTTTTGCACCCATGCTACAAAACTTAGGTATGGATGCCTGAGGATTCTGGAGCTTTAATCTTTAGTATTGAAGAAGGCGAAACTGTACACCATTGTACTGACATATTTTCACTTCTGAGATCAGGAAGGCCAAAACTCACACAAAAAAAAGTGCTGATTTCTTCTTTGTGGGAGGCAGAAGACAGTGAGATGAAGGTGAAAAGGACTCAGTACATCATGAGCGGCCCATTGGATCCCAGTCTAAAGGCACAGCTACCAGCTCTGGATACCTACTTTTTTGGACTCTAGTTCCAAGAGCACCCCAACCAGAACAGCCATTAGCCATGTTAGCAGGGGGGTTCTAGGAGTTATCATAAAAAAAAAAAAAACCCTCTCCCAAGCTCTATGTCAGTTACACAGTCCTGCTGCCCTATATCATATTATCTATATCCATTTTGCCCTTCACATTCTTAACATGCTTCCTTTGAGATAATCTTGTCCCAGTTTCACATGATATTCTTGCCCATAGTCACAGAACTATTTAGCAAGTGGAGCCAACAAGAATGCTTG